GTCATAGGGTAGGTCTATTTTTAATTTTCTGAGGAACCTCCACTATGGAGATATTTTCAAAGACATTAACTAAGAATTTATTTGGTTGTGGTGGCTAAGCATTCCTTTATGGAAATTTCTTATGGCTTTATTTGGTACAGTTGTCTTCTTTATCACTTTTTTCCCCTCTTCCCACACAGCTCATAGCACACTACTATGAGTGGAGAAGGCCTTCAGTGAACAAATCTTGATCAGTTCATTGCTCTGAACACTACCAAACAACAGGTGCTATCCACCAATGTTTGATCCCCAAGGCAGTTCTCATCCATCCCATTTAAAAAATTTTTTTTTTCAACATTTTTTATTTATTTTTGGAACAGAGAGAGACAGAGCATGAACGGGGGAGGGGCAGAGAGAGAGTGAGACACAGAATCGGAAACAGGCTCCAGGCTCCGAGCCATCAGCCCAGAGCCTGACGCGGGGCTCGAACTCACAGACCGCAAGATCGTGACCTGGCTGAAGTCGGATGCTTAACCGACTGCGCCACCCAGGCGCCCCACATCCATCCCATTTTAAAAACAACAGAGGTGAAATGATTTACTCTTAAGACAGGGCCAGGATTAAAGAGAGTTTGTGTTTCCTGGATTTGTTATAAGACTCCAGGGCATTGTTCTATTTTTCCATTTGAAATCTCAAAGGCTATTGGACTAGCAGGAAGTTATGAAAGGACTACCTCCTCCAGTTTAGAAGATATGTTGCTTAGGGAAACTGCTGAAGAATATAGCAATGAAGCCAGAAAGATAAGGGAGTCAGAACCATTGCTATGTGATAGAAGGAAATAACTTGGTGTGCCTAACTAGTTTGGTAGGCACGTTTGATAATACCCAGGTGTGTCTACAGTGTTGGCTTTTCACTTTCTTACATTTTACTCTTTTAGCTTGCCTGCTGTGTTATCTGTGTCCCTGGAAATAATGTTGACCACAACACTTCAGTTGAACCACAGCTTGAGTGTTCCTGAAGTTTCACTCACTTTGCTAGTTCTTGCTTGTGCTAGGGTTTTAAACCTTTTTTCTTTCACATATACCTGATGAAGTTCAAGTCTTTAGCTTCTCATCATTTCGTCTAATTTGGGATGTTATGAATTGATTGCTTTTATTAAGATAAATGCTGTAAGTTTTATCTGATGGCCCAGTCATTCTAGATTGCCGTGTTCTTTGTGGTACTGTATGAGCATTTTGGTGATGGTAATTTCCCAAAGATGATCTAAAAGATATATTGCACATTTTTAAAACACTCTATGATCACTCTTTATTTCCCAATAGTTATTGAAAAAAATCTTATTTTTTCTTTTCTTTTTATTGGGGTTTTTGTTGTGTAGTGGGGGAAAGCCCTAATTCAGGCATCTGGATTCAAGTCCTAGATCTGTTACTAACTCCATTTGTGATCTCAAGCAACTTACTCCTCTCTCTGGGTCCCAGTTTCCTTATCTGTAAATGAAGAATTTGGACTGGGATGATTTTTATGTAGGAGATAATTATTGCTGATAGTTTAGGACTTTTTACTTTTCATTTAGTATAAAAAGGCTATTGGAAAAGTAGAAAGGATTTTTTGCTGTATTGCTAAAGACTGTGGCAGGATGGGAAATCTTACTGTTAGTCATGGGGTTGTAAAAATTGTTCCATCATAGTAAGGGAAATTAGGATGAAAAATTGGTGAGGCTAGCTTGTGTTAAACATTCTGAATTTCTTCCTCCTCTTTGACTTTTGTTTGCATGTGTTTAGCTTAACTCTGCTTTTAAGTGTGTATATTTTTGTGGAAATGGTCCTCCTTTCCTTTTACTCCCATTTCATGTTCTCATCTCATCCCTTACTGAATCATTCATTTCTGAATAGTTTGCAATTTTCAACTTAATTAGGTCTTTCCTCTAAGTGAAGAACACAGCTGTTTCTTTTCTGATGCTTTGGCAGCTGCTTCTGCCTTTCCCAAAATGGAACCATTAACTCTTTCCTTCTATTTCTTAGTTGGTCATTAGTTCAGGACTACTAGCCCATCTGCTGGTGCTGGAACTCCCAAATCTCATGGCCAGAGGTGTTCCTATTGCCTTTGGTGCCTTTCAGTATTTTGGGGGGCTTATAATATGAAAAGATATTTAGCAGTTTTTCAGAGTTCCTTTTGCCTCATTATCTTCAGTGATTCCATTTTTCAGCCTTTTGAGGTGTTGAATCATCTATCAGCAGAACCTAGCCTGATGTCCCTGATGTGGCTTTGATGGAGAAATAGAGGATAAGAAGATCATAAATGTACTTTGTCCCTGAATTACACAGCCCTCATTTGTCCACTCACAGATTCTACACTACAATTTCTAAGAAGCCCTCTTACCCATTGGTCTTTTTGTTTTACTTTTATGTACCTGCCTTTCAGAAAGCGATTGCTATTTTTTCCCTGGATGCTTTGACTTTATCTGCCCCTCTGGCCTTTAATTTTATGATTACTCACTTCCAGTGTTAATTGCTGGGATTTGTGCTTATCATACCATGCTCTTATGTCTAAGATATCAAGTTAGTTTCTTCATGCCACTCCAACTCCCTTCTCACATTATGCTCCCTGTTAATCAACCAAAAGCCTTCCTTCTGTATTGTCTGTTTAGCAGTGTTGTTTCAAATGTGTTTGGTGCAGCCTGTTTTGGCTTCTCCACCCCATGTGCCTCATTCAATTTAGTTCTTCATACTTAGCATATTAGCTATCATGTTAATATTTCCTTTCTGAGGTCTAAATTTTAAATTTGAATGCATTTTGCGTGTGGGGTTATTTTTCTAAAATGATGAGATCTATTGCTACAGAGAGTCAGAATTATCTCTGTACCTAGGAGGAAAGAAAGCACAAAGAGAAAGAGCATTGCTTACATTCTCAGAAGGAGTATGTAAGGGCGAGCTCTTGGCAACATTGTGTCTACAGTGTGATCCTATCTATCTGCCTGCATCTTCCCCTCCATTTGGGAGCACAGGCATCTAATAATCCCCTTAAAATTTTATTTTTTTAAACGTTTTTACTTATTTTAGAGAGAGAGACAGAGTGGGAGTCAGAAAGGGGCAGAGAGAGAGGGAGACACAGAATCCGAAGCTGGCTCCAGGTTCCAAGCTGTCAGCACAGAGCTGGATGTGGGGCTCGAATTCACAAACCGTGAGATCATGACCTGAGCTGAAGTCAGATGCTTATTCGACTGAGCCACCCAGGCAACCCTCCCCTTAAGTTTTAATTTATGTCACCATTTGCCTTTCTACTCAGGGTCCTGAATTCTCAGGCTTTCTTTGCTTGTTTTCTGCTTCCCACATATAAACTTATCTGTTCCATGTTCCATTTCCCCAAGGTCCTAATTTTTCCAAGGGACCTGTTAAATTCACTGGTGTCCTTTTCAAAATAGCATTTAATATCTCTTTTTATTGAAGTATAGTTGACATACAATATTACATTAGTTTCAGTTGTGCAACACAGTGAATCGACAATTCTATACATGATGCTATGCTCACAACTGGTAAGCATAGTTACCATCTGTCACCATAAAATGTTATATTATTGACAATATTCCTATGCTGTATTTTTCATCTCCATCATTTATTCTATAACTGGAGGTTTGTGCCTTTTAATCCTTTTCACTTATTTAATATGATGATAATACAAAGAAAAAATTAATGGCATTTGGATCACCAAGGCAGACCTGATGAGGGCGAAGTCTTTAACATAGGGTCTCTCCCAGTATCCCTTTCTAAGAATAAGGCCAGCTTGCATTCCATCTATCCCAAAGAATCAGAGCTTCCTGATGGATAACAATACCTAACATGTAGTGAGTTCTTCCTTTGTGCCAAGCACTCTTTAACTTGGTTTTCATGCATTTCCACCTGAAACTATCCCAGCAACACCAGGAGGTCAGTGCTATTATTCCTATCTTACAGATGGGGAAAAAAATCCCAAGGCACAGAGAATAACTTTGAGTAACTTCCATATGATAGGGCTGTGATGTGGTAGAACTGGGACTTGAACCACACAATACTGCTCCAGATCCCACAATCTTAGACCCTATGCTACACTGCTTCTGGATAAGAGATGGTATCTTTTACAAATGCACATTTCATTAAGAAGAGCTGGATTCAGATGTGCTGCAGGGTAGTAAGCTTCCCTTTAACAAGGAGCAGATTAAGTCTTGAGTTGTTCCCGTTAAGGTGATTTATGTCATTGTTTTCTTGAGAGAAACTTGCCTTTAGATACAGTGCTGCAGCACAAAGGTTAGACGTTGCTTTTCTGCACACCCCAACTTAGCAATGTTAAATTTTTTTCTTCACCAGTCCCTATGGCTTTAGGTTCTTAGTAGGAATGATTGCCAAATGCCTAGGACTGAGCTTATACTCTATTTTTACCTACTTTTGGAGCTTATGGAGCTGGGGGACATCTCTCCTTGATGTTGGTGAGCAGGAACATGGCAAACTCATGGTGGGGGTTCTGTGAAGGGAAGAGAAGACTCACTCATACTCTCGAGGGCCAGAATGGTCAGGAACCCTGCCTCACTGAGGTAGTGCCAATCTTTTCATTATAAGTAGCTTTTCCATATAGTCATACAATGAATTGTTTTCTGAGGTGAATGGTTGTGTTTCCTGTTATTACTGCATTTACTTCTGGACTGAGTTTTTATTGGCTGCTGCCTACTTACTAGCAGACAGAAAGTTTCACCCTGTTGGGCTGCTGCAATCATGGTAATGAACATTCTGCTCAGGGAGGGAGCTTTCCCTTTCTTTCCCAGTAGCTGTTACCTCAACACTAAGAATTTAATTTACATTTATTTATTCATTTATAAACAGGATTAAATCCAGAATGAAGCAGGGAGCAGTTTTACCCAGTCTGTGCTTTGCATGATTTTCAAGGCCTGCACAGTTCCATCTGTGTAAACATGATTGAAGAACTTAGGTATTGTCTAATGGAGGACTGCAGTTTGGGAGAGGCCCATCATGGCTGGGCGAGAGCCAGACATTCTTCTACCTACTCCAATTCACACCCTGTGAGGTTGGCTTGCTCAGCTCCTAGAGTTAGAAGTGAAAATGGGGCAACTGGTGTTAATTATACTGTCTCATCACTTCTTTTCAGTAGAGAATGAGAACTAGGTAAGGGTTAGGAAAATCTAAAGCCATATCCTCTAAGATGCTCCAGTTATGGTGCTAGGAAACAAAGGGAGGACATTGGAAAAAATAAGAAAGCCTGAAATATTAAATATGACAATAAAAAATAAAATATGTATTAAAATTATAGCTGCATTTATATTTAGTTTGATTCTTTCTGTGATCACTGTAAGCAAGGACAGAGAACTACTGTGTTCAGAAAGGACCAATTTGTTCTGGTATCGGGACTTGGCTTTGTTATTGAGATTTGTTTTCATAATGACTAGCTCAGTAATACTAAGGACTTTTTATATATGAGCACTATTATTGTGGAAGGAAATGTGTTTTCTCCATAACAAATACAAATATTACGGATCATCCAGTTCCTCTACACATGATTATATACAAAGTTGGCTTTGTTCAGTTCAATGGAATCTGGGATCTGTCTAGTAATTTTTCTGTCCCTCTAAAGAGGCATATGGTCATACATATTCCTGAGCTCCAAGGTATAGGCTTTCTGATGAAATAGCAGGTTATCATGCCTTGGATACTCCAGGTTATTCTTGGGGAAAGTCAATAATAATTAAAACTAAGGCAGCTGGCTTTCCACTGGATGTGAATGCCGGGCATGGTTCTGATCAAAGAAGAAAATAAAGCATTACATTAAAAATATTTTTTAATATGAAGTTTATTGTGAAATTGGTTTCCATACAACACCTAGTGCTCATCCCAACAGGTGCCCTCCTCATAAAGCATTACGTTTTAAATGCACTGGAATGCTATCACATATAGGGATAACCCAATTGGCTATGTTCACTCCTGATACAACAAACTATTGAAAAAACTACTTTCCTGAGCAACTTATTTTAAAACAGTGCCCCAGAGACACAATATTCTTTTGTAGAATAGAAAGCCTCTGGTTTGAGAAGAAAAGCCACTTTGGTAGAGCACTGAGTTTATATGATATATTCAAGAATAAGATGGTGGGGAATTCAATAAATTATCTTTTGATGCAATATTGGGATGTCAGGAAAATAAGAGACTTGCTGGAGAGTTCTAGGCTGTGATGTATACACATGCATTCCTTTGTTTACTAGCTGTAGGAGTCTGAAAAGGCATTAACAGGCCTTTATACTAGCAGCAGGGCATATGGGAACCCCTATGTCTTCCCTCATATCTAACCAGGGAGGGGGCAGTTTGTCAATACCATCCATGTGGTATGCGTGGAACTTGAAACTGGGATCCATATTAGTGCTATGCTGAATGCTGTAATTGTAGCTTGTGCAAAACATCCCAAAGCACAGACTTGGATGCTTGTCTGAATCATTAGACATGAACATTATGGGTGTGATAATAGCACTGGAATTCCTGCAGCTGAAAAGGAAGCACATTTGGCTTGTACTTCATCTACAATCACTTACACTTAAGCTATTGATGTTTGATTGGGATCTGTAGACTGCTGGGCTTGTGCCATGGGACTTTTAAGCATATTTGATGGATGGAACAGACAGGGAGGCTATATAGATTTTGGCAAGCTATAGTTCCCATTACTCAGGATGACTATATCTGACACTAGAGATTACAGTTCACCAAGATGAAGCTTCTCTAGGTTTTGGCTGATGGCCCGGTGATATTAACATGATGAACAAGAGAGGACCAATGTTACATTAGGCTATAAATTTCCAATGAGCAAATAGTTGAGTAGTTTATTAAATACGCTGTTGATTTTTTGGACAGACATAAAGTTCATGGCAAGTTTTTTAGAATTTGAGGGAAATGTAAGTTTTTTTTAATGTTTATTTATTTGGGGGGGGGAGACCGCACAGTGGGGGAGGGGCAGAGAAAGGCAGATACAGAATCTGAAGCAGCTCCAGGTTCTGACGCAGGGCTTGAACTCAAGAGCTGTGAGATCATGACCTGAGCCTAAGTCAGACGCCCAACCGACTGAGCCACCCAGGTGCCCCATGTAAGTTTTTAAATGTTATTTTATGATAAATGTTAACCAGTTAGTCTCCTAATAAAGAAATGTGGTCTCTTTGTTATAGGGTATGCAGACTATGTTTGTAGCTGTGCAGTTAATATTCTTCTCCAAGTTTTTATTATAAGGGGTGCTGGTAGCATACCTTGCTAAGGAAATTCCAGACAGAGCTGTTTCTAATATCTGGAGGGGCCCCCATGGAATCATTAGACTTATTCTGAAGGTTCCTTGGTGGGAAGGAGGAAATGTCCCCGAGAACAGCTTTTATTCCATATTGGTGGATTTTCTGTCAGAGACTTGGCCATTGCTATTGTTTCTGATTTCTTCCTGATAGCTTCCCTGGGGGTGTGAGTTTCTAGGCAGAAAGATTTGATGTGATTAGGAAATACTACAAAGCTGAAGGAAGAGAGTCTGAAAAAAATGGTAAGACAAGAGGCTATTCTGGGCATGGCAGAAACAAGTTGAATACTATGGAACAGAGAAAAGGGAGATGAGATGACTAAAGAGAAATGAGAATTAATTCATAACAGCACTTATTACTTATAGGTGGGAATAAAAGGTCCATTGAACTTCAGGGGAATATTCCTTTATGCAATGCTTGTGAATATGTTGAAATTTTGTAAAGGCAATTCCATCTTAAATGCACTGGAGGAGCTGGCAACCTGCAGTTTGTGGGTTGCACTATCTAGTCATAATCAATTTACTATTTCCCTTATCTGGACAACCTTCAGGGTGTGGTCAGGAGAAAGTAAATAGAGAAGATGGAAGATTTCCTCTCAGGAGAGTTTAAGAGCTTCCTTAAACAAAGGCAAGATGTGAGCATCACCTTTCACTCTTCAAGCAACCTTTCTGAGAACTACCTTGGAAATTCTCTGGCTTCCTCACAGTTCCTAAGTAATTTCTGAAACATATAGGTACTCTGATTAACTTTGCTTTTGAAAATAAAAGTTGGTTTGTGTGTGATAAAAAAAATAATAATCTGGACAATCTGTGTCTAGTTGGGTGCTGCAGAAGAAAGGTGAACTCTTGTATCAATCTTTATTCTCTTTGTAAACACAGATGACCAGAAGGGAAGGCTGTTATTAATGGTAATGCAGACCAGAAAAAAGGCTATTATTTTCAGTCTGTTGAACAATACAAAAATGCTTCTCAAGCACCATGTTCAGATGTTTCTTTTTATTAGCCATCACACAAGGAATTAGACTCATTTCAAACAGTTCATTTTCCCACTCTTGTCTCCGTAAAATCATTACTCATGAGTGATTTCTTTGTTGAAATACCGCTGACTTCCCATATTAGAATGGATAACAGGGTGTTAAATGTATAAACTTTTCAGTTTGCATAAACTCTGGAAGAAGGGGGACAAAGATTCCCCAGGAGAATAAAGCCATTTGTCAATGTCCTTGTTTGTTACTGTCCTATATAAGCATCTTATCCAGGAAGCTATGTCAGCATTGCAATTTTGTGGTGTGTGTGTGTGTGTGTGTGTGTGTGTGTGTGTGTGTGTGATTAATCACAGGAGAGAGCTCGTTGAATGCCAGCAGGAGGTTTTAAAATATAATTCTGCATATGCCCTGCTCTTTTCTCCTTTCCAATCTTTTTCTACCCCTTGCCTCCAATCCACCATTAGGATAGATAAAGGAGTTGTCCCATGTCTAAATATATAGACAGATGACAATCCTTAGATCTTCAGCTAGGCACCATTTGCATTTTGCCAAAGCTGATTATTTTATCTGAAGTTTTAATAACAAGCCAGATTATTTTCTGTTCACTAACTGATAGAAGCAAATAAAAAAAAAAGGTTGCAAAGTGGAATTAAGGGGATAAGAAATCTCTAGGGCCAAAGAAACTTTTTATTTAATTAATAATTTCAATTTACTCTTCAAATATTTCTGTGCTAGAATTCAACATCTTATATTAAACAAGTCTGCACTCTCTCTCTCTCTCTCTGTAACTGCCAGATTGGAATCTCAGAGAATAGAAAGAATGCAGGCTTTAATGAAACTTCAAATTCTCTACTCCCAGTGCTGTCTTGTTTTCTGAACGTAGAACTATACTCCTCAGAGATTCTCTAGCCACAGCATGGCATTCCTTCATTAGGTACATGTTTTGCAGACCAACTCATGAAAGACTGGCACTTTAACCAACAAGGGGAAAATGCAATGAATTGGAGTTCAGGAGATGAAATGTTTTGGAAAAACAGATTATTCCAAGGGTGTAGATACGTGATCTGTACTAAATGGACAGAGAATTTAAATTTTACCAGGCTAGTTTTTAGTAATCTTTTGATTTGTCCCATTAATTTTTTCCAGCTTTATTGAGATATAATCAACATATCATGCTCCATTGTTTTAACTTGTGAATGGTAATGAGTATTTAGAGTGATGAAGACTGGTGGTGGTGTGTGCACATGAATGTATGTCTGTGATATATTTTTGTGTCTATAATCCAGGCTTACTATGTATCAGTACTTACATAGATTTTACTAGACTTGTGTCAGAGTGTCTTAACTAAGGTCATCTCAACCTAAAAGGCTTCTGCTACTTCTTATAATTCAGAGTTCGAGCCAACTCAGAAAAAGCCCTCACAGCTGTGGCCCAAAGAGATTTCAAGACTTCCATGATACTTCAGATGGAGCAGCCATTCTTTCTTTCAGAGAAGAGTTGGACAAGCTAAGGGCCAGGGGCTCATATAAGAACTGACATGTGCTAAAGGTGTAAAGGACTTTTTCCTCCTAATAGGAGCAGCGGGTCAAGCATAGCATACCTTCAAATGATGAAGATTCCTCAAAGAATAGATTAATTGGTCTCACTTCTGAATTTGTCTAATTGCTTTTGAAGCAACAACCTGAAAAATAGAACTTGCTTTCTTCTACTAGTATGATTAAATGGACACCTGGAAAAAGAATAATTATGAGTATTTCTAAGGAAAGGAGCAAAAGAATAGAACTGAGCATTGTCCATGAAAGATGGATAATGACAAGTAAACATAGAAGGTGTATTTGATCCCTTCAATTTTGGTGTTCATTATTCATAGTTATTATTCATAAATTCCAGCACAAATGTTAGGCCTGCACCCCAGTGACACATTTGCATTTTATTTTAAGTTGATTTCTACCTGGTTTTGCAAACAAGGATTTAATGGTTTTCCTTGTGTCTCACTCTCCGTTTGTTGCTATAGCTTGTCTTTTTCATATACTGTCTTCTTTCCCTTTCACACTCTTTATCTCCATCTTCTGTATCATTCCCTTATCCAAGGTTCATTCATTCATTCTCTCTCCCTCCTTCTCTCCTTCCCTCCTTCTAATGTTCTAAGAAAAAAGATAGATTCTAACACGTAAAAGTGATGTTTGAATAGATTCCCCTAAGGCAATCAATTTACTTTTAATTCGTCTGGGACTAAGCTTTTCTTTGTTGCAATGAGGAAGTATGAAATTGTTGTAAAATTTATTAGCTTCTAGAAAGATATTTCAAATGAATTTTTTTAATTTATATATGAAATTTATTGTCAAATTGGTTTCCATACAACACCCAGTGCTCATCCCAAAAGGTGCCCTCCTCAATACCCATCACCCACCCTCTCCTCCCTCCCACCCCCCATCAACCCTTAGTTT